AGATAGAAAATGCTTCGCCAAAATTGCGAACGCAAAATATTACTGAAAACTACCAACTTCCAAAGCGAACAAGATCTTTAAAGGTCTTAACGATATTTTTAACTAAAATAAACGTCTACTAGGTACCTACCAGAGTTTTGGCGTCCATTGTTTTAATATAGCTACCTTATAATTAAGTCGTAGGCATTCCAAACATTTATTGAATCCATTTTCTCAAACGTTCTCGTTTTATTATTATTATAACAACAACTTTTATTAATAACTATTAGCAAAATTATTTTTTGTGTAACTTTCTTTAAGAAGGCGTATATAATATATTTGTATCGTGCGCGTGTGCTTTATGTCTAAAACTGCCAAGATGTGATTGCGGTGGCTTACAAACACAAATTCTATATAAGAGTATGAAGCACTTTGCACAGAATTCTTTATTTTATTACCTGGAGATAGTTGTACAACAGCTTATCGCGAAGTATTAACGATAATAACTAACGCAAAAAAGTTAAGTTTGAAACTCATTTACTTCATTTTTGTCGTTAATAAATAATATTTTATCAATAAGCTACTCACCTCCTAATGATCGTAGCATCATATTGCATAAAATGACTAACCAACACTAAAAAAAATTTATTTACAATTGGGAATGGAACTAACAGGGCTGATGTTCAGTCGGCGTAGCGGGGCAAGCGCAAAAAGGTACTGCGGTTCCTTAGCCTGGAAAAGAAGAAGGAACGGGGTGATTTTAGTCAGTAGGAGTCGTATCGGACTCCTACTGACTAAAATCACCCCGTTCCTTCTTCTTTTCCCTCCGACTTCATCCAGAGCGGAAAAAGTCATAATGATAAATTTATCCTCTCAAAAAATATAACAAACTCTTAAGCTTATAATACTAAAACTTATAATTACTTATAGATAAATAAAGATACCAAACCAAATTGTTTATTGAATTGAAATATCACTTAGCTAAAAGTTTTTACAAAACAACAAACGTATCTTGTGTAGTGGTATTGTTTTCTGTGACCCACATTGTTTATCGATGTTCTCACGTAATTTTTCATCTTTTATTGCCGTAAAGCGCCATTTGTATAAAAATGTATGTGAATGACAAAGTGATAATGGTATCAGTTCTTCAATTTATTACCTTTCATATGAGAATTATGGGAGTTGGGATTTTTGTGGCTTTGGAAAAGAAAGAAACACTTCTTTTACCGGATAAGCAGCTTGCAGTAGCGTGGGGACTCCAGTAAATATTATATTATGAATGCATGAATGAATATTAGTTTAATACAGGGACCAGGCTTTCAACACACTACACTATATGTAGGTACTACATTAAAATTATAAATCTGAAAAGTCTTGATGACGATGGTAGGTGTAAAATCATCAGCCGGGGTTGCGGGTTAAGCGCAATTCAAATTCAAATTCAAATTCAAATTAATTTATTGTTTGTTACATGTTTACAATTAGATGTTATTTTATAATATTAGTTAATGGCAATGATTCAGAACTCCTCGGCCTAGAACAGGAGAAGGAACGGGGAGGTTTTAGTCAGTAAGAGTCTGACACTCTCGCCTTCCGTGGTCGGGAGAGGTCATTTGACGATTATCCGATTACAAAAAAAGCGTGTAAATTGATCTCTTAGTTAATCCCATAAGCACTAAAACAAATTAAGAAAACAAACTCCATCATTTGATCGGTAACAATGGCCTGTACTTGTTAAGTAATTAAATTTTAACCAGAATTATACCTGGCCGAACGTTCCCAAGATTTCGAGCACCACTTAATGCGAACGGCGTTAACGCCAGATGCCAGCCATTATTTCATTTTATCGAAGATATTTTTGAAAGAAGACCCTTTTTAATTAGATATTAGGGTAAAGACTTAGTCGGTTCCCTATTGTTATTTCACTAAAATTAGGTCAATGCAAATTGACTTGAGTATTCGCGATTGCAACTGATAAGCTCGTGTTCTCAAGCATAATTTTTGGAAAGAGTAAATTTTTAATTAGTTTTTTTTTGTGAGGGGAAAATCATCAAATGACTTCTCCCGCCCAGGGCCGGGCAGGAGGGAGTGTCAGACTCTTACTGACTAAAAACCCCCCTGTTCCTTCTCCTGCTCTGTAAGAAAACAAACAAACACCTCACGGCCCCTATTGGGGAATAACAAGCATGGTCATGTGTTATATATAGCTATACTATAGCTTATACCTAATAATATTTAAAGAGTGGGTACTCTCAACTGCACATCTAATGGTTTGTATGACATTAGCTACGAGAGCTACGACGTATCTAAGGCTACGACAGCGACTACGAGAAACCAAGAAAAACAGGTAACTTTCCTATCACACCTAACAAAAGATTTGTGACCTAAACCGATTTCCACCGAAACATAGCTAAGAATACTATCGACTGACATACCTTTCAAACGAAAAAACGAATTAAAATCGGATTATCCTTTTGAGAGATAAGATGCCACAAATCCACCCATCCACACACTGACACGTCAAACTTATAACACCCCGTCGTTTTTGCGTCGGGATTTAAAAATCCCCGTTCCTTCTACTTTTGACCGCTTAACCTGCTTGACGTGGACAATACCCGTGCAGCGTTGTCGCTAAGCAATCGGCTGCTTCATAGGAAACGTAACACGGGTTGCCCACACCCGAACCACTGTTAGTAATTGTTCCGTAAGGTAATCGAACTTTCGACAACTTGCACTGTAGCCTATGTTCAGCCACCGCTTCAACCATGCGGTCAGAAACTATTTAGATAAAAACATTCCGTTGACAGGTAATAGGTAGGTACATATAAAAACCTAAGTTATTGTTCTGAGTGTCCCGTTTACATTACCTACCTACGTATCAACGTACAATATCCAACGCCTATTACCTTACATCGTTCCATAAATTTTGGGTCCTAACCACATCATACACGACCTTACTAACAAGCTACTTTCTCCCCTACACCACAGATATAACAATCATGAGAATTACGAAATACAACCCCTCATACACCTAAAACTACACATAAAAAGTTTGGCCAAGCCATTTTTGTTGAGATAACTCGGCAAACGAGCATGCCTAACATGAACGATGCATGGTAAGCAATCGGTGCCGCACATGGACACCTGCAATACCAGAGGAGTCACTGTTCTTTTGGGAAATTGGGGATTATAGCGTGATACTACTCCGGTTGACCTGTGGAACGAGATGGTCCAGTCAACCAAAGTATTGCTTTTCAAAAGCTTCGTATACAATAAATGTAGATAAATAATATTAATACTAGCTTTTGCCCGCGACTTCGTTCGCGTGGAATAGTGAGTTCCGCCAGATTTTTGGTTTTATGGGATCAAAACTATCCTATGTCCTTTCTCGAGTTCCAAACTATATTCGTACGAAATTTAGTAAACGAAACTACTGAAACGATTTGTGGGAAATTTCACACAAATCGTTTCAGTAGTTTAGGCGTGAAGAAAAGACATACAGACGGAGTTACTTTCACGCATAGACATATATATTTTCTTTTGAAATCATTGCTTTCACGTATATAATATTAGGATTTGGATTTTACTTGCAGCACAATTTCAAGTAAGTAGTCTTTGATAAGCATTGTTCCAAATAATTATTGAATCTAACGTTGTCTAGTAGGTACAAACTTTCAACAGAAAACTACCCTTGAAAAAGCTTAAGAAATGTATTAATTATTAAGATAATTATGTTTAAAAAACGCATTTCTAAAAAAATGACAGACTCATCTGTTCAGGCCGAGAGCTGTCTCTCAAAACCCTAAAATATTACTAAACAATATTTTCGTCTTGTATCTAAGGCAAAACCCGAGTTTCACTCACCCATCCATCTCGGAAAAATAATGTTTCTTTTTAAAAATGTTTACATTATGATTGATCATCTTTTATTAATTACCTTATGGTGGTAAGTAGATCTTACTTCTTTTTTAAACTAATACATAATCACAAAGTTTATTTTTTGTTTGCAAATTAATTATTATAATGTTATTCTTGTAAACGGTATACGGTGTTACTAACGACAAAACTTTTCAAAAGTATTTGTAACTTCAACTGCAATTCGTTTTTTTTTTAAGATATAAATGTTCAGGATATTATTTTAAAGATTGGGAAAGGATGGGGCCTCCGTTAACCGCACTCACACGGCGAAACATAACTCTATGATTGTTTCACGGCGGTTTTCTGTAAGTCTGTGGTATCACTTGGGTCGTTGATGACGTTGCGCAAACAGGCTTCTCCTTTTTTCAGATTTTGGGTTACTTATTTTATTATGGTATAAGTCTAAATTTCTTATTTTTTGTTATTTTTTCACCGATGCTTTTTAAGACTTGAAATTATCATCATAATTCTAATTTTTATTGGCATGGTTCTTCATACATTAGTACCCATCGATTAGTTTATTACAATATCAGTGCATGCATTTAAAAGAAAAACACAGCAAAACTTTGGAATGATCTTCCGGCGGCGGTATTCCCAAACCGATACGACCTTCAAACTTTCAAGAAACGAGCGTACTCCTTCTTAAAAGGCCGGCAACGCACCTGTGACTCCTCTGGTGTTGCAGGTTTCCACGGGCGACGCCGATCGCTTACCATCAGGTGATGAGTCTGTCCGTTTGCCTACTATTCCATAAAAAAAATAAAATCGATAATAATGTTGTTTTTAGGCAATTTATTTCCATTCCGTTATTATGTCTTGACTTGTTGATTGTTAGGCGACCTGTATATAATACTTATTATTACCGGTACATTATTTATAATTTAGGCCCACTTTTACCATTTCCCAATGCCTTTTTTATTCGAAATTATTGCTTAGCGCGCGTTACGCTTAATGAGCACAGGTGACCCAATGGTACTAATTGAGTGAGAAGGGATGCAATGAACAGTTCTGCTGAAAGCTGCTTAAAAAGACCACAGTCCAAATGCTACAAAACTTAAAAAGTAAAAAGCTTTCGAAGAAATGTCACTGTCATGTCTCAATTATTTACTTTCTGAATGTGATCTATGGAGATGTGAAATAAACTAGTTCTTCCGATTTCTATTAGAAATTTACTTTATGAACTCCATTTTTAAATGTTATATTTAAGTTATGCTTAAGAATACATAATGATAAACTATGACGTTAAATTCCTGACATGCGATGATACAGTGCACATAAAAAACAACGACTTTAAAAGTTTCAAGTAAGTTATCAAAACTTAGTTTTTATAATTAAATATTTTTCTTTTAGTTTATGAAATAAAATTTCAATGAATTGATAAAAATATTTATTAACTGTGAACTTGGCCTACTTTTAGTCACTAAACAAATAATATTGCCCCTTTGTTTATTATTTTAATTTACACAATTTGGTACAGAATGTTTACGTTGCTCACGAAAGAAAATTAAACTTTTTATTTCCAGATATGAAACTAAGAAAAGAGTGGACGAGACGATTTATGATTCTGGTAAACGCAGTTACTGTGAAAAACGCGGAAGTGTTTGGCGGGCCGCCCACCCTCGACAAGTGCGTCAGTTGGAGTCAAAGCTTAGAGACAGGAGTATCATTACCTGTGAATGGACCACCGACTCGCTGATCACTATAGTATTCTCCTCTGGAGTCATAGCCTACCTCACTGTCAAGCAAAACACCTTAGATGTTTCTCAAATACTCTTTGACAAATATTTTGTGGGGAAACTCTCCGGACAGTCTATTACAAATGGTATGTTATATAGATATAAATAATGTTATTGCCTATTAAAATTACTGGTGCTTTTTCTAAAAGTTATCCCTGTTTGTATTAATCTTTTGCAACCAATTATCCCTTCATGCAAGTTCAAAGAAAGAATTTTATTCTTTGTTCAACTTAGATGTAGTACTGATGTACAAGTAACTGAATTAATATTACTGATAAAGTAAGGAGGTTTTATTGTTGTGTATTTTAATTTATTTAATATTATAATTTTATTGGATATTGTATTACAGTGGCACTGTCAAAATCTTACATACTAGTAACACACAGTGATCGCACTGCAACACTAGTAACATTTGGCAAGAAGAATATCAGTCTTCCATGTCGGATCACAGACAGAGATCCACATGTTCAGGTAAGTTCCATTGAAATGATAAAATTTTGTACTTGTACACAATGTCATTCATCACTGGTGAAGCCCACTATTAGAAGGAGAGAAAAAAAAATTAAAATATTTTAAAAACTATTTTATCAGGTAGGTCAATAAATCCCAGGGCTGAGTGATTTAGAGGCATTCTATAGACTCAGAGTAAATTTAATTACAAAATTTCAGACCACATGGTTAAAGATATCTGCTTCAAAATTTAAAACTAACATACACCATAGTAATTGAAAGTTTAATTATATAAAATTTTGTTCCATCATGCTCTTGATATTATTATTATTAACAGTAATAAAACCAGGCATTCTCAAAATTTCCTTTTTCTTTTTCAGAACATAGAATTAGGTGGCAGTAGTCGCAGAACAGAGAGGCATATATCATGCAATGAGGGGCCCAATGGAGCTCAGGTGCTCGTTTGGAGCGTCACTGTAGCGGAGCCGGCGCCCTGGAGCCCCGTACTAGAAGACCATGCTAACCTACACCTTTATACAATTAATGGGTAATATTATTATTCAAATGTGTTGTTTTAATGAAAATATAAATTCTGGCATTGCAATTGTAATTTTCCCGCTGATGAAGCCAATGCCCCGTTGATCACTTACAATTAGGTCATCTACCTGCATTTTGGTAATAAACTGGTCCTCGTAAATATTCCTTTAATAAAGTATAGTTAAACATTTAGAACAGTGTTTAAAATTAATCATTAATTACTTACACCAATATCTTTTAACAGTACACAATATATGCTCAGAATTTTTCACTAAGCAAATAATAAAGAAACAATTAACTGACATATTATTTTGTATATTACAGACACAACATCAATCTAACAGCATATCACCAATTGGAGAACGAAACATTGTCTGCTGAGCTGTCCAATAAGGGAGATAATGTAGTTCATATTGTGGAACAAGTTACATGTCATAAGGTAATAAATAATCTCCAACTAATCTAAGTCAAATCATTTAATTCAATTAGACCATTGTAGGCAGTTTTGAATGTAAAGCAAAAGTAGTATCTTCACTAAAAGATGTACAAACAGACTGAAACACATAAAGTTAAACCTTTTGAAATATTTTTTTTCTTTTTTTTTTTGCTTGATGTTCAAAACTGCCTACTGTGTCAAAAGTCAATTTGAAATAAATGTCTGTGGCTTTGAATATCAGTCTGTCTGTCAGTCCTCTTAGTGTAAATTCTAATGGAAAAATATAGATAAACACAATGGATATTCTTTTTTAATCAGTTTTACGATCATTTTACATTTGATTGACCGTTTCTTTCAATATTACTAATGAAAATGTATTTTTATTTAATAAAAGAGCCTATAAAATATTTTGAATGGTAATCTTAATAAAATAGTATTCAACTTAATACCAGCAACCAATATATTCTAAACAGCTGTTTATTTCTTTATGCTTACAACGAATTTTAATGTCTATGTAACCATTTTATTGCTATTTCAGAATGGCATCAACTTAGACTGGCTACGATACGAAGTGAACCCCGAGGATCGTGCGACAAAATTGTCGAGCGGTCGCGATAGTGCGACTCACGTGTCGCTGTGTACGGCGGTGCGGGCCGCGCGCCGGGCGCCCTGCGACACGCGACTATTGCTCGCATGTATCGACGGCTCGCTGCATGTCGTGCATTGTGTGGCTGGTCTTACTCATACTACTAGAGCTGGATTTGTAAGTTTTTCAGTGCAATTTTTTCATTTTTTTTGGACATTATGTTACGAGTATTGTCGTGGTGGCCCAGAGGTTAAGGCGCTGGCTTCTTGTTTATAAGAGTGCGGGCCCGAAATCTGGCTAGTACCAATGTGACGTGTTCCGAGTTTTATGTACTTTGTATGATTATTTAGACATTGACATATGGTGAAGAAAAACATCTTGAGGAAATCTGGACTAATAATTTCTAATTATATTAAGTCTGTATCGCCAATCCGCCTTGGGCGAGCGTGGTGATTAATGCTCATACCTTATCCGTGTGAGAAGAGGTCTTTACTCAGCAGTGTACAGAATTAAATCAAATCAAAGGTGTATAAACTTTTTGCCTGCTCTCTAATTAGAAAGAAGTCTTCTGCTAGTAATCTAATTAAATGCCTAATTGCCAAGTATTTACTTGAATCCTTCACTCTTAGCGCCATTAGAAACAAAAATGTAACTAATGACTGCATATGTTATTATGGCTGGCTGGCTAAATGTGCCGAGAATTTGATTACCACTCTGAAATTAAATATTTTATAAGTGTATCGACAATTTTTTATTCTGAGTCTGGATGCGATATACTACATAATCCATGTGTAACATAAGGGTCGAGATTATAAAAATATTCAAATGTTTATGGTCAGATAGCGACAGAGATCAGATGGGCGGACGAGCTAATAATAGCGGCTGAAGAGGGCGGGAGACTGCAGTGCTTCGACCGAGCGCTCTCCCTACTACACCATCACTCCAAATGCTTAGATCTCACTTCATACTTTCGGTAAGATACCCTTAGTTATTTTATGTATTGTTTTTATAATAACTATCGTGAGACATACTAAATTAACTAAAATTCGCGGGTTACTCACGTGTAAATGATGAGAAAAGCTGTAAGGACGCGACGTCGCCGCGTCCGCGCACGCTGCTCATGAGGAAGAACCCCTCTGTGGTTCGAAACTAGTAGAGCTTTTCTCATCATTTACACGTGAGTAACCCGCGAATTTTAGTTAATTTTATGTATTGCCAACTCTAACGTTTTGATCGAGATATGATCTCCGGCCACAGTAAGCGCGGGTCTGCGGACGGCGATTAAGGGCAGCTCGGCGCCCGAGCTGACCGTACCGTTCCGCGCGATCCTCAAAGAGCCAATAGACCACCACAGACGGGGCCCTATAGGGCTGATGTTTAGCCGGGGTTGCGGGGTAAGCGCAATGAGGCACCGCGACCTCGGCCTAGAGCAGGACAAGGAACGGGGGGTTTTTAGTCAGTTAGAGTCTGATACTTCCTCTCGCTTCACTCTGGGCGGAAGAAGTCATTTGATGATTTTTCTCTGACAAAAAAAAACGTTTAACAAAGTTTAAAATCTTTACGATCGTTACGCAGTTTTTCAGCTTTCATAAATGTATGATTTAGTCAGTTGAGTCTCAGTCTTAAATAGTTATTTTTCACCAGGGATTCTCGACGGATGCAGTTGTTAGCCTCAAGGTCTGCTAAGGCCGGTCCCATATTGCTAGCCAATTTCTCCGGCGGGCCACTCACACTTCTACACATCTCACATCCGAAGCTGCTAACGGTAATTTTATTTATTATAACCATTAACCAATTATAGTTGTCATTTGTATCTGTATTTATAATTACTTTACACAGGCGTGGATCCGTAACAAGCGTCCATCGAATGCGGTGTCGTTACTCCGTGCCATGGACTGGGAGCGAGAGGGCACCGAGTGTCTCTGGGCTGTCAACATGCTCGTCTGTGCAGCTTTAAGGAATAAAACTGGTTTGTATATTGTAATACATAATCATTAGTAAAAGAAACTTAATCCTTTTCTAAACACATCTTAAAACATTAAATTTCATTTTGAGAGTCATTGTTCGTGTCATATTTTTTTACGAGGTATGGCTGCTAACTATCAGCCTTACCGATTACCTGATGATAAGCAGTCAGCCCCGCAACACCATAGTTGCAAATTACGTTTTAGTTTCAAATTTATTTGGTATGTCAATGATACAATATATAAGAATAATAAATATAATTTACTAACTTATACTGGCGGCTTCGCTCTCGTCATTTAACTGCCCACACTACCCAACCTAGTTACCTACTTACACTACCTACCCTACACTACCTACCGTAAAATTGTAAAGAGAGAATAATATCAATAACATCATTATCGCCAGCTTATAAATGTTCACTGCTTGAAGATACAATTGTATGTAAATACAGAGGCGGGGTGCAGCGAGACGGTGGCGCAGGGAGCGCTGGGCGCGTTCCTGTCCCCCGCCGCCCCGCACGCCCCCGCCGCCGCGCGCTACCATCCACCACTACATGACCTCGCCAGGAAGTTCTTCCATCATCTACTGCGGTAATTATATTCATCTCTTGCTCTTTTAAACTGATTTTATGACCTAGCAAACATTATTAAAAGTTCAATTTACCTGTTATGTATCTAAATAAGTAAAAAAATATAGAGTTCCATAAATAATAGCTAGATATAAAACTGACAAGTACATTTTACACAGCTCGCTCATGTATTCCACATTTTCCAACGGTACACGACTAGTTTCGAGCCAGATCGGAGCTCTTAACAAGTTTCGAGCACCTTCGAGAATCCTCAGAACATTACATGGACCTTATTTTAAACTTATTACATCTCACAAAAGTTATTGTATATTTTTTTTTTCAGTCGCGGTCGTATAGAGAAGGCACTAAGCCTGGCCGTGGACCTGTCGTGCTGGGACCTGTTCTGCGACGCTCGTTGGGCCGCGACACGCCGCGCGCTCCCCGCGCTCGCCACTGAGGCAGCTTCACTTGCACTGCACTATGCTGACCTGGATCATGGTTAGTTATTATATCCTGTAAAGTATGATAAATTACTTAATACTTTCGACTTTTGAAGCCCTCACCTAAATCGTGCTTTTACTAATATTGGGAGATAGCTAGTGTAAGGGTTTGAAAAAATGTTTATTTCCCTTTTAATATAGACTGGCTCAACTATCTATTTTCCTTATAATAAAGCACATTATTGACAATAATCTTTAGCCTTTCTCGTCCAACACATATAAATCACAGCCTTAAGCTTTGTTGGTTTCACTCCTCTTAGGTATGTGCAGTCTGCATATTTATTCGTAAACAGGTACCAAAGTAACACAGTAGGTAGACACAGTTACACTATCGTTTGGCTACTGAGCAGAAAAATAGTTACAAAAGATATGTTTTCGTAGCCACTATTTATTAAAGGATTTTTTTATAAATTTCAGGTTCAGAATGTTCAGAATCATGTTCGAGCTGCAGTTCACACTCTTACACTGGGTCTGAAGAAGAACCAAGTGCGACGTCAGAGCTTGTCAAAACAAAACCACCGCCACTACCTCGCGTCTCAATTCCCAACCATCCTACACTCATGCAGGTGCCAATCACCCACACAGAGACCATGTCCACGAATAGCATACGACCAAACCTCCATCAGTATTTAGAAAGAGATAACACGATATGGACCACAGATGTACGTGACGATACGTACACAAGGACCCAATACGATGACTATACAAAACCTGTACGGAACTCACAGAACATGCGATGGCATAGTATGGATGTACTGTCTAACTACAATGGAACAAAACACAAGCTACTGACTATAAACGAGGCCCCAGTTAAACCAACTCATACAGTCTTGGACATACTCCCTCGCCCACACGATGACAGATTATCAACAAACCACTATAAACATTTATACCAAACTGAACTAAGGGAGGAAGCTCCGAACACCCTGTATCGTTACCAAAATAATAATAATAATTACCATCCCAGTACGAGCCTTAAAGAGAGATCGTATAGAATTGATAATGACATGGAGAAGCAAGGAAATCGTACTGGAGAAAGGAATAAAGTCAAATTCTCAGATACTGTTACCATAGCTGTAGTTTCAGTAAGTACTTGCATAATCCTACTAGTAAATTTCAATGCCTTTGTTGAATTCATAATTTTCATAAAAGTTATGTTACAACACCATATTTTAACGGTATCACTCCGGTCGATCCGCCCCATTTATGCCGAATTATTCAAAAAAGGCCTCACAGAAAACTGGCATGAATCATAATCCGTATGCTGTTTGCCGTACTATAACATGAAAAAAAAATTAAAAAATGTTTTTATTGCGATTATTTTGAACCGAAGAATCATTCAATTAAGTTACGTAACATGCACAATCCAGAAGTTTATTAGAAACGAATATTGGTTCACAGGAGCCGCGCGTGTCTCCGGAGCCAGCCCGCGAGTTAGCGGCCAGTCTTCCTTTATGTCCCCCTCACAAGTACCTGTCTGCCTTCACCCCGCAGCAGCCCGCGCCGGCAGTAGCCGCGCCCCCGGGTCCGCCCGCCCCCGCCGGTACTACGCTCGACTACGTTGAAGTGTGATGCACGCACGCATGCCACCATATGCACCTCATTACTTCGTTCACGATGCACGACCAACCATCAAAATGCAACTTATTCATTAAGTTAGTTAGTCTTGCTTATAGATTCGCTTTGTGTATGAACTTATTGTATTTATTTTGTGCCATTTCTATACCGAGTTTTCAGTATATATAGAAGTAACTTGGTTCTGTAATTTATTTTAGAAACCACTGCATGTTTTGTGTTTTTGTTATCAAAGCATGTAAATGTTAGCACTGGCAATCATTAATTGCATCACAAACGCAATATTTAATAAATACTTATTTTTGTAAAATCCTGTTTTCAGAAAACGCAACGCAAAAGCCGCCGAAAATCAAAGTTGTACATTTTGGCATGGTATAAAGAGACTGCAATACCTACATTCCATTTTATTGCGACATTGTGCAATGTATAGTGATATAAGAATCCGTCCAGATTTAGATTTAAGATATACAATGTATATAAAAATAACTGTTTATTTTAAAAGGCTGATTTCTGTACACTGAATTTGTAACAAATGTTTAGATTTAGTCTTTGTGGAGACACAGAAGGTACTATAATAGAAAATATAATGCTACAAGAACCAGGGCATGTGATCCATCGGTATTGGAAATCGCAGGCATATCCAATGGTTTAATGAGTGGTGATACATTTTTATTACAATTACGAAGTCTAACATACAATAAATGGTTGTGAACGGCCTCTAAGCTATGATCAAATGTTAAAATTGAAGTTAATTTGTTAAGTAATGCATTTATTATATTATGAGCTTAAAATGAATAATTATACATTTTAAAATGTGTATTTTGTGTTTTATTTAACCGACTTCTACACCAACTTTTTCGCTTGAATGTGTGACTGATTTGATTTCTAGCTAATAATGAACTCGCCTTGAATGACTATGATCCGCTTCATTTCATCAAACCCTAGACGTAGGGTCGGTGTGCGACTCAGGCTTAAAAAGGGTGAATAATTTAAACTTCGGGGCTCCAGAGAAAGGAATTTCCTATAAACCAAATACTTTTTGCATCAACCTTCTTTTCTTACTAACAATTATAATTCTTACCAACAATTATATTTTCATGGATACAATTGATTCAGTTAAGTAAAGTAATCTATCAATACCTATCGCAAGATAGAAGAGCTTTGCACAAAGTGCGACTATAGGCATAAAGGGCAATGAAATTATTATAAGTAGGTAAAATGGTATAGATAGGTTACATAAATCACTGATCAATGTGATGACAGACGTCCACAAACAGGGTGAATAGAATTGGAGGGGTGAAAAGATGCTTGGAAAATTCGCCAATATCTATTCACACTTTTTGTGTTCCACCCCGTTTTATTTAAATATCGGTATCAATGATATAAGTAAGAAGGTGTAGATAGGTTACAAGCACTCAGCTAGTGATACAATTAAAAATGTGGCTAAGTCACGGAGGGCTAACTAGCCACACTTCTTTTTTTGTCTTTTTCACTCGCGATTATTGAATTATGCCATCCCACTTTAAGGTGTATCATACGATTTATTCATGTGCATAAGTGTGTCGTTTTTGAAAATGGAATGTTTAAACAGCCTTTCAATAGGTACTCAAGTCATATTGATACCTATCAAACACCAAATAGTACCTACTAATACACAACCTATCCAAATCATTCATGATGTTATTGTCAGTATCCCCCAACAAGTTTTTTAATATTTCTCTATTATATTCCTATGTCAAAATAAAACAAATATAATGCTGTTACATTTTTATTAATTTTGTCATCTTAATTAAATGAATAGCAAATTGTAAGATGGTAAACTGGTAATGCTATGCAATTGAAAGAAATAAAATAATTTAATCCTTCAGCTTCTTCTTGGGGCGCAGGTTGTTGGTGTGTCCACACTTAGTCTTGCGGCAGTTGGTAGCACGGGGGTGAAGGCGAGCATAGCACTTGCGGCAAATCATTTTGTCACAGTTGTACTTCATGGCCAAAATACGGAGGGAAGGCTCAATGGTACCTGAAATATATTGTTGTTTATAATATTGCACCACTATTACACTGTTTCACAATAATTTGAACCTAAACATCATTAAAAAAAATCAGGTCTTACCTCCTCTCAGCCTGAGCACCAAGTGGAGTGTGGATTCCTTTTGGATGTTGTAATCAGAGAGTGTGCGGCCATCTTCCAACTGTTTACCAGCGAAGATAAGACGTTGCTGGTCTGGTGGGATTCCCTCTTTGTCCTGGATCTTTGCCTTCACATTTTCAATGGTGTCTGAGGCCTCCACCTCGAGGGTGATGGTTTTACCCGTGAGGGTTTTTACGAAGATCTGCATTGTAGAGCTGGAAACAAATTATTTGGTTACAACAACATCTATTGCATTTTTTGTGGCAGATGGCCTAAACTTTTATAAAACAAATGCCAAGCGACGGCCGAATATGACACGCCACGCGGATTTTTAAATTTCGAACATCACCTCAAAGAAACACTGTATGTTGTGAAGAAATTAAAATTATGTCACGGTAAGTAAATATATAAATAGTTTTGTATGAAAAGAACAAGTAATTTGCGTTTTACAAAGATATTTCACAAGCTCACCTTTTCCTAAAAACGTGCTCAAAGTAAAAGAAATGTCAAACTTTAAATAAAATATGGCGGATGTTTTCGTTCAGAATCAATTCGATAGAGATACAACGTAGGTATTGAAAAAAATCTGCTTTAACCAAAAGGTTGTCCCAAATTGTAAAGATTTAACTTGAAATTCATCAAAATGATATAAAAAAATATTGATTTATTTTCAAGACATAATTATATTTGATTTCCATAGTAAATATCTTTGTTTATAAGATCTTTGTTTTTCTATACTCGTTTCTGAACAAAATGCCGGGAAACATTCAGAATGTTTGGTTTTAAATATAAATATTTTTTTACTACTAAGTTATTTTTTATTGTAATTTAGCAAGTAAAATAAGTAAAGTAATGCAAATTATTTAATGCTTCCAAAACAGTACTAAAAAACACAGGTTAGTATTTTTTTTTCTTATATATTTGTTTTCCAACAACAATGATGACAGCTGTGGTTTGCCATCACGTTTTTTTATAGCCTAGTTTCTGAACGAACCTGATAAGTACTTGTTTCGTAATCGCTCGATTTTCAGGCACTTTGCAGGTCTAAAGTAGATTTTTCTTCGAACAAAATGTATCATCAACTTAGCCGAGTTACTGGCAGGCTGGTGGCCTCAACCCACTTGCAAAGCCCACTGTTCCCTGTGGTAAGTTTCGTCTACAAAAATGTTGATTCCTTTGCTTTTATCTTTATGTGACTTACATAGATAACTTTTATTCTATAGGCACCCGTTGCTTTGCAACGAGTGGAGCCCCCAACCATCCAGTACAACACCACGCACATGTCGACTGTTGCCGACGCGTGCCCAGCTCCTGGCAAAGCTAAGTTGATTCCTGGCACCAACACTCCTTACGCCCGTATGTCTGAGAAGGTCATCCAGCGACAGAAACAATTCCAGGTTATTACTTCGAATCAGTTTGTTTTGTCTTATTCATTCCTCTTACTTTCTACATAGAAAAAATATATGAATTTTTATATACTGCACACCACAAAAGCTGTACCTACTTACAGCTAATTTAATCTAAATAGCTGAGCTGCTTATTCAAATTTAACTTCCTATTTACAGTAATAATCAAGATATTTCGAAGCTTAAATAACTTTGATTGACTCACAAGTAATTAACTCATGTCTAATCATTTTAAATGATATATTATCATCTATTATTTTCATAGACAATGGTAGTAATATATTTTGTCTTAATTCATCAAACCCCAAGCAAACATTCATGTTCGCATACTTATTGTTCTTCTATTGTGTCTTGAATTACTACAATTGAAAGGTTAAGAAAAACTTGTTGACTTATATCCTTAGGCAGCAAATAGGCAAAATAGGATAATAAAACTTTATTCTTGACAACACTGTATTGGAAACTCAAAATAAAATTGTACTGTAACTGTTCTTTGTACAAACTTATTAGACATTTTTATCCGTTTAAAATCTTTAAATAGTGACATAATTTAACTATGGAGTCATTTTGAATTAAACTTTAATAATAAAAAAAAGTTTATTGAACATTTATTTATACACATCATAAATAAGTATTTATTTATTGATATTATTTCCACATGCCTATGCTAATTACTATTTGAGTTTCTGCTACTTAAGCATAGAATAGTAGAAGAACAAGTGTGGGATTGTTGTGAACTGATAAATAACCAAATATTATTATGATATAATTTTCAATGGACAATAATAATTATACTTACCCAAAACATCCTAGTTGTAGAACAAAAATACTTTCCAAAATTACAATATAATTGTGATAAAAATGATTTGTACTTATTTCAGAAAGAGGATGATGTCCCCGTATTCCTGAAGGGAGGCCCTGTTGATGGCATCCTGTACCGTTTAACCATGGCTCTCTGCATCGTTGGGCTTATTGGTGTTGGTCACACCATCTACATCCACGCTGTACCCAAGAAGTAAATACATGAATAAATCAATTACTAAATTATGTATTAGCTGCCTGTGTTATAAGTGTCTCAGCACTGTGATTAGAAATATATGATATCAAACAACACCCCTTTTTTTCTTTTTGTGTTGTTATGAAAAAAACCCTGTCATATTTGCCTTGCTAAACACTTTCAGAACCTTTCTTGCATAATGAAATACAAATAAAAATCAATAAAATTCATTACTTATATGTATAATTTTTAATGCATGAAATAATAAAGTTAGGTTTTGATTGAAAAAGAGTAACCATAAGGTTTCTCACTTGTTCTTCACCATCACCATCCATTGGAATGAGCTAATAGCTTCACTAGGACTGGTGGACAAACTAAAACTTTTCACATTTAATTATTTTGTTTGATATTCGAAATTGTCTCATAGTGCTCTATTTGAAATAAGTAATTTACATTTCACATTGAATCATCAATTGAATGATGTACCTACTTCACTACAAATTAAGTCATTATAGTTGACCCTAATAGAACATAAACCCTAAAACGAGGAGTGTACCTACCTTAAAAACTTACACAGTGCAAAATTAACAATTTGTCATAAACAGGAAAATAAAACGCAAAGTTTTATATAATTCTATATTTGATATAACTGTATAACATATCAACACTGGTCTTCACCTAGAACGCCATATATTGCAAACCATACTTTGTGAATTCATGTAGCATAACATTCAAAGCACTACCTTAACACCAACCTACTCTATGCTTGAAAAAATATTAATAACATCCAACTTTAATAATATTAATTATGATCAAGTTGATACACATATTTTGATCGATAGTAAATACGTAACACCTTAGTAAACTCAGTTCTTCCATGGAGCTGAAGAAGGAAAACAATCAGGTACCTATTACGAGAAGAGTTGAGAACTCAACACGCATTATAAAAATATAAATTTAAAAAGGATAAAATATAAAGTAACTACGTAAAAAAGAGGATATAAAAAAATATTATTTTGGAACTTTTACCATCAAACCAGTCCAGGAACAATAACTAAACCAAACATGAAACAAATTTAAAATTATTGAGATTTCAACATTCAATCTCATTTGAATAAAATGCAAAACACAGCCTTTTAACATTAAAGTAAATCTGGACAATGTTTTAAATTCATATCTCTTAATTTCCTTTAATAGACACACCAAGTAAGTAAACAGTTTAATTAAATATCATGTCTTAAAATCTATCTAATTGCTAGGCAATATGTATATCAAAAAGTATTCAGCACTGTAACATTACTGGGAACTTAATGATTTGCTAAAAGTAGATAAGTACCAGTAAATGACTGCAGCATAAACTTTAAATAATGTTTAGGTATATATATTATATATTTATATATATATTTTAACTGATACCTAACTTAATAGTGAACACTAATATAAATTAATTATAAAGTAGCGTAGATCAAGCATCTAAAAGATAACTAGATCGTGAACAAAGGAAACGTTTGTAATGTACTTCATATAATACTATGTACTTGCATAAAATCTACTTACATTTCTATAACAGCTTTTCCTACTCATATAAAAATTAACCGAGACGAAAACTGAGACTTCGATGCATATCGAATTTGTAACAAATAAATTGAATTAGCTGCTAGAATTAGCAACCATAAATGGTAAATGTATCTAAGTAAGTTAGGTACACAGAGATCGTCAGTAACTACACGAAAGCCTTCTATGTATATGATATCTCCAGACAAAACATCATTTATAGAAATCTAGAATTCAGCTGATTCGATCGAACTAAGAAAAAATTGTGGCGACGTGTAGAATGAGATTTATGTTGCATGTTAATTGTTAATCTATTACACACAGCATCTACTTAAAACGCTAACCCCATAGCCGCATTAGGGTGCAGTTTCATTGAGGCAGAGCGGAGAAGAGCTGCGCCGCGATTCACCAATCACATGGCTTGAAATCCACATTCGAGATAGATCCACATTAGAGATGGTGAATCGCGGCACAACTCTTCTCCGCTCCGCCTCAATGGAACTGCACCCTTACATTACCAATAAATACTGAGATACAAAAAAATCATACGTATACGTAACGTATTAGAAGACCAAGAATTTCGAAAGAAAAATAATCTCTGTCATTGAGAAAACTTTAAATCAACATTAAGTATCAGTTTTATAAAAATCAACATTAATTGCTGGTACGTATAACAGATATTTGTCGTGATAATGTCACTATCGATGCATTACTTCTATCTTTCTATAATAGTGTACATTTAAGCTACGTTATCAGCGCTTACATGTTACTATTATCATTAGCATTATAGTAAATATTCAGTGAAAAAGTACCAAGATTACTAGAAATCAACAGTAGACTAAACACACGTTCTTAAGTCGATAATAATACTTTTACATTTCTTTCTTTACAGTAAAAAGCAAGCCTGTTGAACTAGGTCACTGTATTCAGATATTATTGGAACCACTCCAATTGTTACCAAAGAATTTCGTTATCTTCATTCATTGATTGTGTAAAGCTGTAGATAACTACAGACTTAGGAATAGAACATCATGGTATAACAAGATACATACTATAACCGTAACTAAGTATACTTATATCAAACACAAAGAGGTGTACACATTTTTAAAAATATGGGCCAGTAACATCGCTCTTGTTACGGTAGGTAGTTGTTAAAGTATGTAATATAAGTTGATTATATTTAACAAATACAATAATCTCATACACCACTAACATATAGATACGTACTGATTATATTGCACCTCACAAACACTGGTATATTAATTTAAAACTCTACTAAAATACAATTTTAACAATAAATATTTTCAAAACTATGTCCAAAATTCTTCATCGTTAATGAATTATACGTCATCATCACATTTGAATTTTGTTAATATAGAACACATATTTATAATCAATCTTATGCAAAAGCAGTTGTGAACAATGATTAGAACAGATTATACATAATTTAAAGAAGTCTGGCTTTCGAACAAAAACAACTGAAATATACAGCGATATAATTATAATGTTTTTAAACATTTGGGAAAGAAATTGCATTTCGTAATATAAAAAAATATACAATAATAGGTAAGTATAATATGCATAAGTGATTGTTGTTCATGTTAAATGATTAATAACATAAACAATAATTTTAACTGCAATTGCATCACAGTTTAAATTATGAAACAAAATAGTAAAAAAAAAAATTTAAAGCAGTATTTTTTTTACTATTTTGGAGTAGTTTTTAAATTAACAATTATTAGTAACTGTTAGGAGATTAGTGTTGCATAAATAAATGAAGGTAACACAAAATATACATAAGTGTACATTGGCTTGTAGGTACACAATATTTCTAAATTACATGTAAGTCACGTAAGATATATTTACGTTGATTATGCTGGTCGAGGGCGCGCTGGCAGTGGTGGCGGTGCACCTTGCCTAGCAGGGACAGGTGGGGGCGGCCCAGCTGGAGGGGGAGTGCTGCTTTCCGGAGGGGGGAGGGGTGGAGGGGCACACGTAGGGGGCGGCACGCTGTCTGCTGGAGGTGACGCGATCGGAGGCTGTGTTGTAGCCTTACCTGCGTCAGGCGTAAGAGGAGCTGGACGCGGGGGCGGTGGTCGCGCTGGACTGATTGCAGGCGCTCTGGATGGTACCAGGGGAGTCGGTGATGGTGCCGGTGGTCTGCTGGGCTGCTGTCTGCGAGGAGTTGGCGGTGCCGACCTAAGAGGCCTCTCTGGTTGTGCTTCTCCCGACAACGGGACCGTGTTGTTGGAACACAAATTTATTTCAGCCCTCACGATATCGATCCAATTAGGGGTTTTTAAAGTTATTTGTAAGGGAATTGAACAAGCATATATCTGTCCCTTCTGTGCAGCTGCCAAAGCATTTTGCCCTTCCCTAAAAGTAATACTTAAAGCAGTATCATCAATGAACCGAACTAATGTTACTTCACCGATGGTAGACAATTCCTGCAATACAGCTGCCACAACATTGTCATCAAAAGCGGACTCCTCACTATTGTATCCTTCAAATGGCTGCACAATTATGCTAGCATCAGGAGGTCCAAGGTCCTTTACTACTTCATAAAATACCTCCATGCATTTTGTATAGCTAACCTGCAGAACTTCGATTTCTAATATTGCGATAACTGGTCGGTGGTCGCTTTGTTTGAGTTCGGCGCGGCCATAATGAAGCAATTTTCCAGCAGCTAATTCCGAGGTGCCCTCTGGGTCAATCGTATATTTCCTGCTTCTCCACAAAACTCGATCGGTCCAAGCAGGTGCCCTACACTTTTCGCTCGTATCGTAGTCATCGCTAAACAAATCATATTTATATGTAGGTGGAAAAGTTATTTCTCCCTCAAAGCAGTTTTTGAACACTAAACCTTGGTCTTTTTGTTGTAATAATTGATCGTGGTCTAAAATTCGTTGTAAATTGTTTTGTGACACTAGCAGGCGTATTTCGTCTTTATCTAGGTCGACTCGGTAATTGAAATCACCACACCAGAACACATAATCATGGGAGTAAAGGGAGCGACCCATTGGGAAGGCAGTTTTTCGTGTTATCTCAGTGTAATCAGCATTACGCTCTGTAACCTGAGACTGACCAGCGGCGAAATGCGCACAAACAAAACATAGCGACGTCCCATAGAGGACCATTCTAATTCCAACAGATCCTTTGTTTCCAGTTGTCCCACCAAGACCCGTTTTTACTGAATCAAGGGCAACATCTCTGATATGGGGAATCAGATCTTTCCTTACAAATATAAAAAGGCATACACCTACTAATTGATGACTTGATAGCAAAGTATATGGAGCATCCCTGCAAAGTACTTTTTCCAATTCTTCGCTCCATGCTTTAGCATTATCAGAACTAGCTGCCATGATATTGCTAGCATTTAAGTCCACAATTTCTTCAAAGCCAATAGCAAATATATCGGAGGGATGTTCCTTTAAGTTGACAGTGTTCACTAATGCTGAATTAGGGCAATCCAGTAACCAATCAGCTAATGATACATCTTTGTATGCAAGACTTCTGAAATGTTTTCCTCCATTTACATTGTATGTACCAATTGTGATTCGGATAGGAGTTGGCTGTGTAAACTCATTTGCTCTGCGACACATTTCCCTGAGCACTGGTGTTGATGTGTGCAATAAGTTAGATGGTAATAGTATTCTCGAACGATCAGCAAGTTCAGAGTTCAAAGTAGATCCTAAAAGCAGAATATCAATAGCCTCTTGCTTGGAATTGTCTAGTAAGTTATTTTGAATTGTACGAGCTGCAGACCTTGCACCATCAATAAGTTTAGAGCCTCCTTGGATGGCACCAGTGCCTGCATATATTTTGGATATTTCATTACCATTATTGACCCACATTTGTTTAAAAACTTCCTCAAATCTGTTGACATTTTGTTTTTTGTCAATACATTGCAGAAGCATTAACTGAATAGCCAACATTTCTAACCCTATAAATGTTTGTATAGAATTGGTTCTGTCCAAACAATCTAAGCAATTGGTTCTTATCACTCCTTTTTGAATATTGTAGATGTCTGAACTTTTAGCACTAAAAATACTTATATCATCATAATGCTTTTCAATGATTTTCCTAAATTTCGCTAATGCTGTTTCTATAGAAGAAGCTCTGACTTCTTGGTGATAATCAAAGATAATTTGAACTACATCATTGTGAGCAGAATCATTCAAATGTTTCTGAAATGCATTGCTCAGAGTAGCTTCACCTTCACTTCCTCCAATTAAACTAGAGCCCAGTAAGTTTACAACTATTAAAGAGCCATAGTTACGCTTCAACTGAGAGAAATGTCTATCACAAGCACTAGTAGATGCATCATATCCTCGTGACATCTTCACTTTGTGTGATCCCACCTGTATGCCAGGTTGTTCCCAAAATAGGGGTACTGAGCCTCTTGTCTGTATATAAGAAGCTACTGAATCATCAATATAAATAGCTTGCTCTGTTTCCACAAAATTGGCAACATTTCCATCATCATTGCAGCCTCTAACATTGAATCTTGTTCCAGCACGCTCACAGCTGAGTCGGGAGACCAATACAGCTCTTGCTTGTCTATGACCAACATAAATGGTCCTGATTTCCACTGAACCACACATAGCTCTGGTCAACCACTCTTCACAGTCTATTCCATACCTTATTAAATGTATAAATAAGGTTCTATTCCAAAAGAACCTGTTATCTGGGCTGGCTCCCTTACTTTTACGCTGAGCACATAAAGTGAGATCAAAAAGATTAGGAGTTTTACCAGAATTCCAAGAAAAGTAAAAAGTCCCAGAGTTGACCAACTTCCTGACTTCCGAAACTTTGTCCTCGCCTTGTGTTTGGTAAAACAGTGGCAGAAATTGGGTCTGAGTAATTTTAAACACTTCAACATCTCCAATCTTACCGATTGAGCAACATCCCGTTACAAGAACCAGGTACAGCAAACAATTCTCGCCAGAATTTAATTGCAAGACACCTAGTACTCCATAGGCATCCGCTATTTTATGATATTGTTTTCGCAATGTTTCTGTTTCTTGGGACGACAGCGAAACCACAGCTTGAGACTCGAAGAGAAGCGCTGAGTCTTTATTTCTATGTTGTAGGATTATACTGTACGGGTTTGGCGGAGCGGATTTCTCTAGGACCTTAAATCCCTTTGACATAGCCATGATTACAAGAGACTGCTAGTCACTTACATGTATACAACAGCCATCCGCCCCCTATTTCAGCTTCACTTTAGCATTTGCACAACAATCGACTCGACCAAGAAAAATCTAATGAGAATAGTAGGATTTCTATCAATTTCGAAGCAAATCAGAAATGTCAATTACGTCAAAACTGTCAAAACGTAAAATATTAGTAGGGTAGTAATTTCATATACGAAAAGATTTTTATGCTTGAATTTGTCTAAACTGTGGTTTGAACCTTCTCTCTCCAGCATAAACGTACGTATTCTAAATAATAAAAGTTTGATAGACGGTTAGTACTACCTAATTCTTATTGTATATTTTCATACTAACATATTTTTCATAATATAAATTTCATCAAGTGTTGCCAACATTATTTCGGGAAGTCGTGTTTACATCACTAAATAAAGAAGTTGTTAGTTTATTTAGTTGATAACTAGTCAAATTTCTTTCTTTTAAAAATACGATGCTTTACGAACTTTGCATGATAGCGCAAGTCGCAACTTGAGGTCATGGCGAGAGGAACTGGGACGCCTCTCCTCTCCTCCTTTTGAGAAGCTGTCATACTCCAGCTGCGGCAGCGTCTGATCTGCGGATGGCGAGCAAGAGTAGTTTTATTTGCTGCCCAACCAAAACAGACTCGAGTATATGGTGCATCGCGTTCCGCACGCGCCTCAAACACTAAGTATATTTGTTTTCCCAATCATAGACACGAAAATAAGAAATAAAAAAAATATGAAATAAGCATACTTTTAATAACATCTTATCTTTTTTTATTACAAACATACGTACGTATATATATGATACATTTAGATTATTTATCTAATTATGCAATAAATATTGGAATGGGGTAAATCTTACGCTTATGTTTAAAATTATTAACAAATCATCATAAATTGACAAATTTGAGAAATATTCAAGTTATAGACTAAAGTTAACATATTTCTGGTAACATGTGATAGAATTTATATTCACTTTAATATCCCCGGAACTTCTTTGGACATATTCGCGATATATTTCGCGGGATGCTTTGGACACGGTCGGCGGAATTACGTCCACAGAACTGTCTATAGTAAACGCACTATTGACGGTCATGACTATGTGGATGTCAGACTTATAGCGGGGATTAGAACGACGTTCGAAATTCACGTACCGGTTGTACCTGTAAAGTGGAGACATATTAAGTGTAAGTATCGGTATTTAAATATTAATTTGAGTCTTATTTTTAAGCGCACAGGGCAAGTAGCACCAGATGTTGTATATAGGTATGGAAAAACAGGTTAAAATGTCAGACATCACCTCGTAAAGAAACATAAATCGGTCATTTTACTTAATACCGATTTATGACTTATTTTTGTTTCTGTGCAATACGGTAGTTTCCAACTAGTCAAATTCAATACTTTTATCCGAATGTCAAAAACGATACTTTTCTATGAAATTTGTATAAAACACTGAGTTATGACGTCATAGTATTTAAGCGTCAAATAGCTAACTTATTTCTTAAAAGAATGTTAATAAAAACCTAAACTTTATTGTGTCGATCGATGGATGAATAAAAGTATTAATTTATTTTTGACTTAGGAAACTACCCAATTGAAGACAAATACTCACATGACCCTATCGCGTTTGCTGGGCTCCTTCAAGGCAATTCTGTTTATTCGTTTGATAGCGGGAAACATAGGTGTTTCTTCTTCGACTTCTTTTGCTTTCAGTATCTTGGCCACCATTGTCAGTGGTGATGGCACTGAGAAACGGGCGCTTGGAGTGGAGTTCGTCAAGTCGTCGTCAGTTGATGAATCGCCATTTGAGCTGCAAAAGATGTTCAATAGTTACCTACTTTTCTTGGTTAATTCTACTTTTTCTTAATAAAGTTATAAAGAAACGATAAAGTGTAGCGATCACTGCTACTCATTATAAGCACACTGGATAGTTCACATACTCGCTAGAATTATTCGAAGTGGTGCTGGAACGGCCGCTGATAACCGGGTTCTTGGAGGTGGGACCCTTAGTCGGACCTACACCGGAGCGGCCTCGCACTACGAACGGGCTAAAACTTTCTGAAAACGTCGGAGCCAGGTCTCGAAGCGTGTGGAACATCTGTGAATTGAAATTTTTTATAAAAAAATTGAATATTTAAAGCATTTGACTGACTTTTAAAATTTTATGTAAAAATGTCACTTGAGTGACTGAGCTTAAATTTTTTTGGACTTTTATGTGCGTAATGTAACTTAAAATTTACAGATAGAAAAAAAATCGTTTAAATTTAAGGGAACCATATCTTCGAATTATTTTATTTCTAAACAGTCGTGTTTTCGTGTTGCCATCGATGTAGGAACAACTGGACTGGACAACTATTATTAAAAAGTTATCATTTGGAACGACCAAATAATAACTTAATAAATTTTGGGAGATCGTACTTATGATGCAGCTGTCTGTTCCTACTTGAAGTTATAAATACAAGTATACCTCACCTTAAATTCAAAACACTCCATCAGCACGGTATATTCGAACGGCCTGTTGTAATCGTTGTAAGCATCGACCATCTCAATAGTGTTGCTACTATCGCCCTGCATACCAATGATCTCACAGCACAACTTCCTCATTTCATTGCACGGCAAAGGTAAGTGTCGGACCACGTCATCATCCCACCATTTTGTTAGAGAGCTATGTAGAAAAAAAATACGTTAATGAACAATAAATTTAACATGTTTGAAAAACTGTTTTTTGGTGTGCAATAACGTTTATGTTTTCATTGAGACGAGACATTTTTATGTTTTAATTGAAAACAGAACTAATGCCTACAATCGGATCGAGAGCAATACGTGTTACAAATCAGACGGATAGAATGAAACACATAGCATACATCATACAGCATCATTATCAGCCTATAAGTATGTAAGTCAGTAGTGTCTACATAAACTTCATTTGTACGATTGTAGGTCTATAGAACTCAGAAAAAAGACGTATTAAAACTTGCTTAGTTTCGACCACCGTCTCCGGGCCACCACGCCTTCATAATCTTCCAAACATGACAAATATATTTACCAGTTCCTAGGAATATACACCATTGCTTCAGGGTGGTGTAGATAGTAATCTGTCTGGTACTCCCAAATGGGTGGCCTGGACGGATCTGGGATGAAAAGGCCGAGGAACAAATTCATTGTGTTTTGTTTCTCAGCGTCGGAGAACGTGTTGGAGTAGTATCTACTGAGCGTCTGCATTATGTCGTTACCATGCGACGACCAGGGCGCAGTCTTACGATAGGTTTTTATTCTGTAACAAACATAAAAAAATAATTTATAAGCAAAGTTTTAGGTACCTGTATTGTACAAAAATAATGTAGCACTTCAAGCTACTTCTGTTACTGCAGACTTTATTACAAAGAGTTAAAGTTGAACATCTGTTGAGGCCATTTGCCAGATTGGAGACCATAGGACCATTTCTATGGGTTACGGATTCATAACTGTGGATGAACGGACCTGCTCCACTGGAGTGATGATACCAGGCCGGACGCCGTCCCAAGCGTTGTTTCACGCCGGCATGAAACATATTCCTAATTACCAAATTACCCAATCCTCATTCCTAAACCTCGAAAAGCCGGCAACGCACTTACAACATGGGAATCTTACCGGGAGAGCGTCGATTACTTAACATCAGGTGCCCCATATTCCCATTGGCACCATATCTCAAAAAATCGGTTTGTCAGAAATGAATAATTAATAAATATTACCTGTGTACTAATTGCGACCCTCCGTATTGCAAAGCTAGAGTATCGCCGTGGTCTTCATATAATCCTTCAAGAAGCCGGGCGCAGTCTGAATCAAATTCGATGTTGGGCTCTCCTATTAGTCCCAAGGCATATAACTGTAAAAAATAAATAAAATTAAAATTAAGGAATATTTTATGAAAGTGTCATTGCTTCGTTGCAAATGTGGTAGTGTAATTGGTGAACAAGGGGATTCAATTCAGGGGTATTCAGTGCAAGCACAGCATAATTTGCGAATAAGGCGGATAGCATTTTACCTTCGCCGGGTCGGTGACTTTAGTACACGAATAACAATCATACCGCGTGTAGGTACTCTAGATACTCATCATTCATACAATAATACTTTTATTAATAAATATCAATCACATGTTTCAATGTATCAATCAGCATCAATTGTAAGGTTCCAAACGAAACAAGGAGAGAGCAAACAAAATTGGTATATGGCACTGGATTCACCTCATACATAGCACTGATTAATTATTTATTTTATTGAATTGTACTGTAGAAAATTAATTACACTGCTCAATTCTTAGGTATAAAGTTAAGAAAAAAATATAAAGTAATATATTGCTAACTCATTTCGACTCAACTCGCAAAACTTCAAGCATTAATCATCATGATATACACTATACATTTTATACTTTGCCCTATCCCTTCCCACATTGATGTCTCTTTTCTAGGCTGATTAGTAATTAGTCTTGGAGTTTTACCTGATGTGCTAAGACGCATTTTCCGATGGCGAATTGTGCCGTATTAGTCCTGTCGAGGCAGTCCACACAGTTGACGCGCACTAACCCAGTCTGCAACCTGCCGCCCTGATGCCCAGGTACTCCTGTCACTTCGCCGTAGCCATTAGAACTTAGGAATATACCAGTCTTACGAACGACAGTGCGAGCGATAGCAGATAATCTGTAAAAATAATATGTTAGAATAAGTTTAACAGTTCAAAAAACATTTAATGCAATTAGGTCGATTATTGTACAGCAAACACAATGTGTGGGCTTAGAAATGTTTTCATACTTATCCAAGACTTTAGCATCAGATCTCTTATTTGTGCGCGCCATATCCAAGTGATAGTACTGCACAGCATGTTCAGGAGGTAGGAATTGATTCAAATACTTTATCCCATTACTTATCACATCTGTCAATAGAGACTCATGCTTCTTCTTCTCTCTTTTTTTAACCAAATTCAGAAACATGATTGGAGAGCCATATCTTCTCAACAAATTGTTTAAATGCTTTCCAGGAATTTCAGCAAATGGATCACTCAAGTCTATTGATATTTGTGGCTTTGGTACCATTTTTGAGACATCTTGAGACCAGTAACTCGGTATGGAGCCTCTAATCTGGACAAATGAGCTAAAT